GCGGCCGCCACCGCCGCTGTCGCTGTCGCTGCCGCGCGGCGTCCGTCCATCGCACGTGCACGCTCGCGATATCCGTGCGAGTATCGATTCGCTTGAGAAACGCAAGGGGAACGAGCGGGAGAAAAAGAAAGAGAGAGAGATAGAGAAAGGTCTTTGCGTTCCGCGTGCGGCAGCGCGCGGCCGTTCTGCGCGGCGTCGCGCGGCATCGTGTCGCGCCACGTCCCGTCGCGTTGCGTCGCGACGCGCGACGCCTCGGCGACACGCAATTTCACATTCGCGCCCGCCGGCGGTACAGACGACGGGAGGAGAAGGAAGAGACGGAGTAGGAGTGTAGGCAACAGCAGCAACGGCAGCGGCGACGGCGGCGGCGGCGGCGGCGGTGGCGGTGGCGGTGGCGGCGGCGGTAGCGGCGTCATCACACGCGCGTACTGGGGCCTAACGAACTCGTGTGTTGTAACAACGGCCGCGAGCGTCGACGCCGCGTCACGGCGTGGTGTGGCCGCGCGATAACGCACACGGGAGAGAGGGACGCCGTAGCCACGCAGCAACGTCACGTCCCCGATGGTGAGTCTGTGAATCGGAGTCGACGTCACGCGCGCGTCACAGCGAGTAAACGCGCCGCGCGCTCCGGATCTCCTTTACGGTCGAGATAAGCGCCGGCAGCGACCACGACAATTTTTGCGTAACGCAGACTCCCGGAAAGGCCGCGCGCGCGGACTTTCATTCCCGATTTTCGATTTGCTCGCGAGGTCGTGCCGTCTCCCTCGTTTATTTTCTTTTTCCATTCCCTTCTGCTTTATTATTCATTTGTTGTTCCCCGCGCCGTCTTGCCATTTGTCTTCGCTCTTTCCACTCGCGGTCGCGCGGGCGAGACGGGGGACGAGAAATCGTGACGCGAATGCGAGGCGCGCGGAACGAGAAACGGCTTTATTCGTCCGCGAAATCCCTTCGCCCGGTAACGAGGATCGATGCGTTTCTCTCGCGCGCGATTTATCGTTTTCCAATGACGTGCAGGTCCCTCGGACGAGATTGAGCCTCGTCGAAAGCGAAATCGGAGGTCAAACGTCCACCGATATCGCGTTAGTCGATGATCCGTCGCGATCGCCGTCTAATTGCCGTCAATTCGCAGATTGATCGGTAAGCCGTTTGCGGCGAGGGAGTGAAAAACGCGGATATTGCGTTCCGCCGGTGGAAATTGCGCGCTGGCATTGTATAATTGTGCGCAACAACCGATTATCGCTGATTAATTCGATACCTGAAATTTTTTTCACTCCGTGTACATGTTTTTTAGAGCCCAATATCGTTTTATTTCCCCCCCCCCCATTTTTTTCCACAATTATTCACTTTACTCGTCGGAGCAGTTCCTTTTTTTAAACCGTCCAGGCCCTGCACGCCGAATCGTGTCCTTTGTCCACGCCGTATACATCGACGTAGGATTGGCTGAAAATTAATGAAATTCTCCGCACTGCTGCGACTTTTATGTCACAGTTTTGTTATTGTTCGAGCGCGCTGCTTAATCCCGCTCGGCCCGAAGTTGGCAATCGATCGGAATTCTTGGACTCCTCACGCGACTTTTATACACTCCGCCATTTGTAATATAACTGTGACATTTACGTGTGTAATCGTTGAACCAGTGATTCCCGACCGGGAGTGCACGCGTTCCTCGCGGAACGCGCTAAATATAATTAATTTGTCGCACAATTTTTTTCCACGAGTCGTACAGTCGCATGCACATTTTTAAGAGAATCTGTTCTCGGGCACGTATCAGACTGCGGATATCGAGATTGAGATTAGGTTGCAATTTGACGAATCGGAGTAAAGTTCATTAATCTCGAGCTTAGTGAATTTTACTCCGACTGGTCAAATTTCAATCTAATCTCAATCTGAATCCGTAGTCTGGTACGGGCTTTAAGAATCACTGCATTAGAGATTCTCTTTGGTTCTTTTGATGTCACACGGAGTGTTCCAGCTGTAACAAACCATCTCTCTCGTCATCGAGCCACAAATGGACGTTTCCGAGGCGCAAACCGCTGAGGGCATTGTGGTGTACAGATTTCGGGCATCGCTAGACTGAGAAACATTACTACGCTCAGACAAATATCCTGGCCTGTCTAATCGGATAATCAATTACATATTAACGAACGGATATATTCAATTAAATTGTAGAGGAAAGTCCTCGATTATGAGATAGGTTTTCAACGTCCAAATTCAATCGCAAATCTTTTTCGCAACGACTACACGATCCAACAATCAATTTTTCACGAAACAGATTTCACTCCATATAAATTCATGGTGGAACCAACACATGCCTATTGATTTAGCAGAAACTTTGTTATCTCATAATAGGGGACTTTCCTCTAGATCCGATAAAAATATAATCGGTTTTTCGATTAAATTTCATCGGTAACTGCAATTTCATTGGATAAATTTCATCGAATATATCCATAATTTACTCGGAAAACTTAATCAGAAAAACCGATGGTTAATTTTTCATCGGAAACGCTACGTAATCGATTTAATGAAAATTTTTCTCAGTGAGGCATTTTGTGGGCATTAGCGGGTGTTATTTAAGGAAAGAGGCAAGAACAGTCAAGATAACAAGATAAAGCAATGCTCACTGGACATTCGTACGTACTGGCGTGCATGATTTTGGTCAGCGGTTCTTCCCTAAACCGCTGTTAGATGTTAGATATCTTTAAAAGTTACACGTCTGCCTGTGAAATTGAAAGCCTGAAATAAGACTTTACTTCCCATTTAGTGGCTCGGCGAGTCTGCTTCGTTTTCAACGTTTGTTATCTGTCGACTTCCCCGCGTCTCGACGAGAGGTTGATCAAAGCATTCGTAGATGAAGGGCAACTTAGATGGTCTTCCCTATAATGTGCCCTGCCCCTCCTCCCCAGAATCACCGGTTCCTCTCTCTTTCCCGCGATGTTGTCACGTCGACCGGTCGAAGTCAAGGGTAAAGTCGGCCGTATACGCGTGATTGGGAAATCACAAGGGAAACCTTTCTCTCATTTTCGGTCGCCGCGACCAGCTCTATCTCTCGCTCGCGACTCCAATCGCTTGATTACTCACTGTGCAACAGCGTTGAATTGCGTCAGTGTTTACGCGCCGAGGTCGTGCAGCTGAACGCGGCGCGAGACACTTTTCGAGTATCGCATGGTAGAAATTGATCAATTTCCCGAGTTGTTACGGAGCACCCGAGACGTCCTCGTATCACCGTTAAACGACACTCGACCGTCGGAGCACGGTGTCCCGCTTCAAACGTAAATACGATTGTAAACGCGATTATGTAAAGTTATACGCATAAACGCTCCCGTAATGACATTTGAGAATTGCAAAGCGAAATTAAATACTTGGAAATTTCAAAGCGCATCGATTGACCATCCGATATCTGACTTTGTCATTAATGTCGACGAGGTGTGCAATCGGGGATTTTTTCCATTTTTAATGCATCGGCAAATTGGATCGTAAAATAAGTTGGGATAAATTATGTTTTTTTCTCCATTTTACGACAAACAAGGCACAAACTAATTGTAAGACGAGCTCTAAAGCCACGATGCTAAGAATCGGGAAATTATCTTTTATGGAGAAGCTTCAAGTTGATTGGCTACACGTTGCTGAATGTTTCACGCGTAACGAGTCGAGAAAACCAAGGGGGCAACCACTTGATGTAATCGTGTAATCGTTTTGTCTTAATTTTCAAGTTTCTTCATTTGTTAGGCAATAAACATAAAATTTGAACATTTTCTCAATTTCTTTTCGTTTTCCAAAAAAAATCTACTTCTTTTAGGCCTAGTTCCACAGTGGCTAGTTAGCTTAACTAGTTGTTAAGTAGTGATGCCAACCACTGAAACAAAATTCGGTAAGCTATATACAAGGTTAGATTTTGAAAAGTTGCATTTTCGCAAATAAGCTTAAAAATATATGTACAAATTTATTTATAGACTTTATATATTTTCAATATTTTACTTATGCAATTTGCGAAAATGCAACTTGTCAAAATCTAACCTTGTGTATAGCTTACCGAATTTTGTTTCAGTGGCTGGCATCGCTACTTAATAACCAGTTAAGCTAACTAGCCACTCTGGGTTTTAGTAAATATCCAAATATAATATATATCATAGTTCACACCTATAAGCGCGTATTCTTTTCATAATAAGACTGAAGTAGTCGCCGTTAGAACAACAGCGAGTTGAAACGTTGATGCACCTTTGCGCGCAAGTTTGGAACAATAAACAGTAAATACAAATGCAAAATTACGTTTCGTTAAGACCACGGATTAGACTAGTGGGAAAAGTGGGAAGCAAGGAGACATGTGACCGAATACTACAATCTTAACTGAAATTGCCTCTGCAAGCAAACACTTCTTTCTTTCTTAGTAAAATAAGAAAGATATAACAACTCTGTGAGGTTTAACAATTACATGTTTTTAAACGTGCGTATAAGAAAATTATTTGCAATTAGATGAGATTATTTGTAATCAGATGAAATCGTATGAAATCAAATGAAATCGTGTAATCGGTGGGACAACATTTTAGCCAGTGGTTACCCCCTTGGAGAAAACGGTTGTCCGTCGTGTTCGTCCGCTCTTAGGCGACTCGTGTAACTCACCGGGATTCTTATCTCGACTTGCTGATTTCTCGACAATGTTAACGACTAGACGTAAATACGTGAGGGATGCGTTAACGAAAATTCCGATCGATGAAATTAGACTTTACTCGAGAAAATATACATACACACACATACACACCATAGGCGATCAATAACGTTCTCGGCGTTCCATTTTTCCGAGATTGGACCTTATTATCTCGAGTAAGTTTCCTCGTTTTACCTAGCGTTGTCAGGACGTATCGATCGGCTCGTGAAAACGTGAGTACGCGGATAATAATAAAGAGACGGAGATTCGAAAACGAAGGATCGATCTTCTTGGATTATTTCGACGACACGGATCGTAATTACCCGTCTGTCTTCGTATCTGAAGCTCTTGTTCGACTTCGGCTCCCACAGCAATGGCTGCAGATCGTGAATATAGAGGAAAGTCCCATATTATGAAATAGGATCCTAATATGGGACAGCGGGATTTCTGTTAAATTAATGAGCGTCATCAGTTGATTCCACCATGAATTTATTGAAAACCAGATTTTGCTCCAATGGCAATAATTTCATGGTGGAATCAACTTTAATAATTTAATGGAAAATTCATTGGTAGATTGTGTAATTGTTGTGAAGAGAGAGATCTGTGATTGTATTTGAATGTTGAAACCCTGCTGTCTCATAATAGAGGACGTTCCTCTACATGTAAAACCTGCTTACTGTTAGAAGGATGATATAGCTAAATTATAGCGGATTCGGTTGGTTGCACTAGTGCGCCTTGTTTACAGACAATTCTTATATTTAAAGATCATCTTAAATACGTCTTGCAACATTTCTTATCCAGAAAAATGGTCTGTACAACGTTTACACGGATTATTTTTTGACTAAATACTCTTTGAACACGTATTTAAGATAAAGTTAAATATAAGAACTGACTATAAACAAGCCTTAGTGTGCACCCAGTGTAA